GGAAGTTCATCAATGAAGCTTTGAAATTCTGTCTTTGAAAGTTGATAGCACGGAGGAATGTAAATAGAAGTAATTGTTAGTAGCTTCCCGAACAGCACTGCTCGGACAGCAACTGCCTCAAGAGAAGTTCGGAGGTTTAATTGCTTACAGGCAACACCTTTATCAACTATTATAGCGACACCGCCCGACGAGGCGGCAGCGTCGTCACGGTCTTTGCGGAAGATAGCATATTGCTTTAGAAAATTTGTTTGTGTGGACTTAAGATGTGTTTCCTGAACACACAGCACCTTTGGCAGTATGTTTATTAAGGAGTTCTCTAATATCATCGAGGTTATGGAGAAGTCCTCTCACATTCCACTGTAAAATCTGCGTGTCCATTTTAGATGTGTTTTGTGCTGTGTGCTCAAGGATAGAAAATTAGCTCACGGACCCTTTCCAGGGGCCGTGACACGAGATTTTTCTTTTTTGGATCGGTCGACGGAGTTGCGCCGATCCTTAGGCGCTTGCTGCGCCCTCACGCTCGAAGTTGTGTCCATTGCCTCTAGCGAGGCACTGGACAAGCGCTCTTGCGAGCGCTGCGGTTGTTTTGAGGGCCTCGCCTCTAAAGACAAGGCCTTCGCGGCCCCCAGCCCGGAGGTTGGTGGGTCCTTCTTCGATGGCGGAGCAGCACTGGCTGCAACCGCCGTGGGGGCAGATGGCGTCACCGCTGGCTCACTACACGTGTGCCAGACAGGCGCCGGGGGCCGTCGTGGCGCTGCCCCCTGACGCGCCACTTCGGCAAAGCTGGTTTCTGGCAGGTAGGACACCTGCCTTCGTGCCTCCCTAAATGAAATGTTTTGTTTTACTTTAATCGTGACAATTTCCTTTTCTTTTTTCCAGCTGGGGCACGACCGTGAGTATGCGGCATGCTCCCCGTTACAGTTCACACAGTGAGGAGAGTTTTCACAAGCATCAGATGTGTGTTCATCAGCACTGCATTTCGCACAAGTTAGGCGGCCTCGGCAGTTCTGAGAACTGTGGCCGAACCGCTGGCATTTAAAACATCTGAGAGGGTTCGGTATACATGGCCTCACTCGAAGCTTGATGTACCCTGCCTCAACGGAGTCGGGCAGTACACTTGAATTGAAAGTAAGTATTAAGTGCTTAGTCTGGATTTCTTCGCCATCGCGCCTCATCCTAATTCGTTTCACGTTGATGACATTCTGTTCGCTAAAACCCTCCAGGAGTTCAGCCTCCGTCAGCCCTAACAGGTCGTCATCTGAAACAACGCCACGGGTGGTGTTCATGGTTCGGTGTGGGGTTACTATTAATTTGGTATCTCCAAATTTCACTAGATTAGACAATTTTTCATACTGTTTCTGGTCGCGGAGCTCCAACAGGAGGTCACCACTTGCCATTCTCGATGCTTTATATCCTGGGCCAAAGAGTTTTGTCAAAGACTTCGAAGCAAGAAAAGGTGAAATAGTTCTCACTGGTTTGCCAGGTGTGTCAGCATGGATAACGTGGAATCGGGGAAAGGATACTCTCTGGTGACCAAAAAACTGGAATACTTCATCGGTGCGCCCTCTTTTCTGGGGGCGATCAGGAAGTGGGGGGAAGGAACAAGCCATAAGAAAAGGTTTATTTTCGGCAGCAGCGCCAGCCACCCACCATGGAGTCCTACAAGGGGACGCTGCAGGGTCTGTAAGCACAGGACCTGCAGATGCCAGCTGTACACCACCACTATAACCGAATATGGTGTATCCAAGGTAGGATAGCCACACAGGATTAACCCTTGCCGCCAGAAAAAATCGGAAGTAAATGGAAGGGAGAAGAAGACAGGACAGATTTAAAGACGAGAAAAGACTAGATGTAGGAAGAGAGAGATAGGAAAAGGCGACTGCCGATTTCCCCTGGGTGGGTCAGCCCAGGGGTGCCGTCTACGTGAAGCCAGGGCCAAAGGGGTGTGTTGCCTCTGCCGGGGGGCCTTAACGGTCCAATCAACCAGCGTCGGCTCAACCCCCAGGATCCCCTTTTCCCCGGACACGGCAAAGCCACGCACGGCTAGGCATGGGAGGGAGTAGAAACTCCCCCGTTAGCTCGGGTCCGTGGCCGAGTTAGTTGACAGAACGAACTTTGTAGTGACCAGACAAAGACATCGCATCCAAACAAGGCAATGAGAAAGACAAATAGCTCCAATTTAGTTAAATTAAAACCTCGCTAAAGGAAGCTTTTCCACATGCCGACGATATGCAGTATTCTCCTTCATAAACTTCGTCTTTCTTGCATTAAGTGTGTGGGGGCGCTGACACCCCCCCCCCCCCTGTAAAGTTGTCTGCGCCGTGTGGCGCAAGTGTCTCGCCCCAAGGCTTTATTTAGGTGGTGACCACCGCCGGGCGATAGATGGCGTTGTGTTCGCTTTGAGTACCACTGTTGGAAGAGTGGTAGCGCCGGTGGTGACCCCTGGCGGAAGGCAGGCCTTGGTGGCGGGCGAGCGTTGAGCGAGTCTCTTCTGCGCGTGGCGGCTGCCGCGAATGGTTGTTTGTAGCGCGGGTCCCCGGTGCTCGGCACCGCGGGCTTCGCGCCGGGGTCCCGCGTGGAAAGTCAGGTGTTGGCGACGCCGCCTTGGGTATGTGTTAGTGTGTTGGGTGTGTTAGTGTGTGTTTGTCATGTTATTGTGTGTTTAGTGTGTCATTGCGTTATGTTGTTTGTATGGTAGCGTGTTAATTGAAATTGGTGTATCATTCGGCGGACGATATCGTCGTCTAAATTAGTTAATAAATGTATGTATGTTGTGTGCTTTGTACCGACCGCGTCAACTGTGTCCGTTCACTCCAAGAGCTTGGTGGTGGCGATGCGCGCGTTCGCCTCGTCGAGACCCCGCAAGTGTGAATAGACAAAAAAGCATGCTCGTCTTCAAGAAAAGGCCCGCAACAAGCCCTGCAATTTTCATCAAAATGAATTGTGAACATAGATTCACCTATTCACACAGCTTTATGACACAAATGACTGCGCAGGCTATGGAAGAGTTCATTATGAAGCCCCTTATTAAATTTGAGACTACAATTTTTTAACACACAATTCGAGCAAATGTATAAGTGTTTTTCTTGTTCGTTTTTCATTGTTCCGCTACCAAATGTGACGGCTAAAACCAGGCATTGAAACTACCAATTTATTCTCAGTTCAAAATGCCACAGCCATTGCAGGAGCTCAGCCTACAAAATGACCTGCTATACTCAGAAAGGAGTTAAGTTGTGACCACAACACAAGTCGCTAAAAATTTGGTTCTATAAATAGTGCTGCTTAGAGCACGTCTGAACAAAGTATGGCTATCCAGTTTTCACAAAGCATCTTTACAACGAGAAGACAAGGCACACTAAATCAATCAAATTTATTGTTTGCCGTAATGTTGGCATCCTGAACTATATGCTTCACAAGAGAGTACTTATTCCCAAATGCAGCGAAATGATGTTTGCTGAAATACACTCATTCCAGAATAATTTCAACGCAGCTTAAAGAGCAATGAAATGTCATCAAATGTGGGTGGGAACTGTAAACACCTCTGCACGAACAGCAGTGGAACTGAGCTTGCATGCCTCCAAAACTACCGGTGCTCTAGTTTAGAAATACCAACGCAAAACGAACAATAAACTGACCATTAGTAAGGTTGATACTAGGCTAAAACTAGTGACAGCTATGAATATGAATATATGAATGGTATTACGATAATTTACTATAAAACTATCAAGAGATTAACAAATATTAAACAAATATTAACAATGATAGTTCAGTAGACGCTTGTTAAATGAAACCTGAAGGGAATAGGAGAATAGTCACCATTTACAGGAGTTTCGTTCACTGAGATATGAACTGGGGTAAAGCGTACTAGTACTAAACCAATCATATCAGAAACGGTTGGTTCAATTCAAGTAGCAATTTCGTTTCACAGATTTCCATTTACTGGGATTCTGCTGTACTGTACCGCAGCACTTAAATAGCTTGCGATTGACAATGTGACTGGTATCTCCACCATTATAGACTATAGTTACAGAGAAATTTAATGACAACTGACTATCAGAAACACCCAGTTCATACAGCTATGAACAGCAGCCAAGTTTATGTCTCATTGTTTGCATGCTGTATGTCCCATAATTTTAGACTATCAAGCATTCTCTATTGCACAATCAATTGTGCTATTCACTTCGCTGGCTCATTATTGATGCGATAAAACTTCTTCGGATCTTTTTTTTATTTAGTCGCGTTTTTGTCATTTTTTTGTTATCAATATTATTACTAGTTTTTTTACTAGCGTGTGGTTGCTACAGTTATATGGTTGCTACAGTTATATACACTGCCGATTTTCCAAGGATAAAGTTGTGAGTGATGCCCTTTCTGTTCTGTCCTTAATTTTCTTCCTCGATGGTATGCATCCCTTTGTATTTCAGTAAGACCAACTAGCCTAACAAAAAGTTTTATTAAGTTGCAATGACTTACAGTTGATCCCTTCTAACCACGTAACTGTAGCCATCACTGAGTATCTATGGGGCATAACATCAATTTTTAAATGCATTTGACAGTAGTTTCAGCCAGTGCACGTAATGAACGGCAGTAGACTTCTCTTACACTTGTGTTATCTCAAGCGATGGAATGGGCTTCTAACAAGAACACCCTGTAAAACTTAGCCTAGTTTACTACAAATCTGTTCAGCGGAATCTAGCAATGTCATGCTGCAAACAGTTAGCTTCCTGATTGACTCCATTGCTAGAGAAACTGCAGCGGAAAGGCAATAGTACTGGATTATATCTCAGACCAGAATGAATTTTCAGGCAAGGAACTTTCGTTTCAAGAAATTTGAATGGATTTCCTTGTGGCTTTGTGCTACAAGCCGATAGCTGTTCATTCCTCTTTCTGGATCTACCATAGGACAAGAAAACATGAAACGAAATTGTTCGCTTAAGCAAACTGACAAACAAAGCCTGATACATGAAGTGCAGAGTATGCAAAGATGACATAGCACTCACCTAAGCTCCTTGCGAGCCACGAGGCGCTCTGCCTCGCGTAGGTGCATGTCGCAGGCCTCATCCGTCTTGGTGGCGGCCAGTACGACGGGTTTTCGCGTGCGCACCAGCGTCTGCAGCAGGGCAGCCACAAACTCGGCCTGCTTGTCGGCCGGCCGTCCCGGCACATGGCTCACGTCATACACGCACACAAAGCCGTCCACGTTGAGTCGCCCCTCGGGCATGAGCCGCTGCTCAAACTCCTTCTCAATGCCCAGCTGGCTCTTGCACACATACATGAGTTTCTCGGCCGAGCAGAGGCGCAGGGCCGCACACCGCTTCAGGTACGTCTCCGTCTTGCCGCTGCGGAACGGCTGGAAGGACGAGTCGTCGATGAACTCTGTTTGCTCCACCACGTGCACGCTCAGCTCGGGCACATTGTCGCCCGCGCCATCGGCCGAGGGCCGCCTTGCCTCGCCCCAGTACAGGAAGTGGTCGTTGTTGACCACACGGCCCCCAAAGTCCGTCTGGCTCAGCACCGAGATGTGGTCCGTGTGGTAGTCGTCGGCGCGGGGCCGCACAAAGCGGTTGCAGAGGCACGACTTGCCCACGCCCGTGGGGCCCTTGTCGCGCTCGGTGCCGCTCAGGCCCACCACGGCCACGCACAGCGACCGGGGGGCCGCCTCCGAAGCCGAGGGAAGGCCCCCCGGCTGCCGCCGGCTCGTCATGCGCCCCCGCGCCCCTCAGCCAGGACCCCCACCGGACTCCACCAGGCCACCTGCAATGAGTGCCAAGGCGTACTCAATAAGGCCTTTTCTTTTAATGGACTCATCCTTTCAACTCTTAAATGCATTTCAAAGCACTCAACCTTTAACACCATGTATAACTAGCTAGCGCTGTTTACACTCAGTTTAAGCATTGTGTGTTGCTGTATGAAGTGGCACCAGAAGTGAAGAATGAAGTAATTTACAGTACTTTAAATGTCAGTCAACATAAACATTAAAAAAAAAAGGCAAGGATGGGCAAACAAACTGTCTCTAAGTTCTGTCTGACAGCTACTTTGATATAGGCTACACTTTCTACCAAAGCCTTAGATCAGCATCTATTCTCATTCCAAATTGCAACTCAATGACGACTAAGCTGCAACAGGAATCAACACTGCCCCGCATTTCTGTCAGAAGCTCTTACCAGCCTCATATCCTCACAGCAACATCAAATGATATGGACAATTGCATGTTATGTTGGTGCAATAGTGTAAAAAAATTAAGGCAGATTCACACTAGTGGAGCCAAGCAAGAAAGAACAGCAGAGCTGGCCAGCCTTCCTTCTTTCTTTTGTTTTTTTTTAAGGACGATAGTCTTTCTTGGGCACCTTCGACAAAAAAATTTTGGTCTGTGTCGGTCTGTCTGTCTGTACATTTGTCTGTCCACCCTTAAGGGTACCCTAAATGGAATTAAAGCGACCAAACGATACTCCAAACCGCTGACCCCATCCGCAGAGATTGCTCAAGGTTCAGCGTTCATACTTGTGCGATTGTCAATTAAAAAGCTATTATTGCGCATATCTGAGGCACCATAACAACTTGTCAATATTATATATGAGTATTTTTTTACTAGAAAAGGCATACATAGGTAATTTTAAGGATCGTAGCCTTTATAATGCTGCGCTGGCCATGCAACGCTTGCACGAAACGGCAAGTCTTTCCAACTCTTTGCTAAGACGACACGGTGGTGGCACCTAACCGTCGCCTTGCACTCTACACCTTATCACCTCAGAGACGGGCACACACGGCACGTGCCCCGTATTCCAGGGTAACTGCCAGATAGCGCTCATGTCTCACATGTGACGTGACTTGATGCGCTCGTTCGCCTCCGCTTCACGCTAGAGGCACTCTAACGCAGCGCCTCCAGAATAGCATTCACCAATTTTCTTGCGCAGAACATCAAATAAACGTTTTTTTCACTCTCTCCAGACGCAAGACTATCGTCTTTTGACGACATTTGTGGTGTAACATGCAGATACGGGACCAATTTTTTCTTTCTTTTTCTTCATGTATTTTTTTTCTCAGCTTGTTTCTACTTTTTCTTTCTCTATCTCTTCTGTTTCTCTGATTATTTTTTTTTCTCTTTCTGTCTTGCCCTAAGTTTTCTATCTTTTTTTATTAATCACTTTTTCTATCTCTTTCTCTTTCAGTCTATTTCTTTCCCTGTATTTTTCATCATCTTTTTTTTTTTTACCTTCTCCTCTCTTCCTCTCTATACTCCTTTTGTCATCCATCCAAATTCCCGCATCCCCTGTTGGATGAATCAGCGAATGTGTTCTTTGAAGAATGATTGATATGTGGGGTTTAACGTCCTAAAACCACCATATGATTATGAGAGACACCGTAGTGGAGGGCTCCGGAAATTTCGACCACCTGGGGTTCTTTAACGTGCACCCAAATCTGAGCACACGGGCCTACAACATTTCCGCCTCCATCGGAAATGCAGCCGCCGCAGCCGGGATTTGAACCCACGACCTGCGGGTCAGCAGCCGAGTACCTTAGCCACTAGGCCACCACGGCGGGGCGTGTTCTTTTAAGAAAGCAGAGAGTGAAGGAGAGGATGAAGAGAGGGCGCGACACCCAAGTTATTATTAGAAAGGGGGAAAGCAATTAGACAGGGGGAAAAAGTTCATTAATATGATAGTTTTTGGTCATGTTTAACAGAGTTTCTCTCTTAGCACAAATAGCATTGCTGTTAAAAATGGTTAATAATTATAATTGTTGGGGTTTAACATCCCGAAACCACCATAAGATTATGAGAGACACCATAGGGGACGCCTCCGGAAATTTCAACCACCTTGGTTTCTTTAAAATGTTCCTAAATCTGAGTCCACGGGCCTCAAGCACTTTCGCCTCCACTGAAAATTTATTTTATTATTTTATTTTATTTACAGGTTCTGCAGGCCTATACTTAGGCCCAAGCAGGAGGGGCAAAAACAACAAAAAAAAGTACAATGTCACAGCACTTAATTAGACAACTTATAGTGCACTTGCACAACAGTGTTACGGCACATAAACAGTGATCAGAACACTCATGCGCAGCAGAAGTCAACTAACTACATTACTCGGGCACTGCGAATACACACCATATGGATACATCATTCAGAACTAAACAAAAAAAGTTTCAAGCTGTTTTTCAATATCTTCGGACTGAAAAGCACTTATTGGTAAAGAGTTCCAGTCAGCAATAGTCCTAGGGAAAAAACTATTTTTAAAAGCAGTGGTACGGGCAAAAACTGGCGCCAATGAATATTTATGCTTATGTCTTGTTTTTCTAGAAGATAGAGGTTTCACACAGTTTCAAAATGCGGCCACTGCAGCTGCGATTCGATCCCGCGACTTCCGGGTCAGCAGCAGAGTGCCTCAGCCACTAGACCACCGTGGCAGGCACCTTTCAAAAAAAAAAAAAAAAACAGAGGGAGGAGTAGGGGAGTTACTTGACCACACTTGCCTTGCTTCATTCTTAGAAGGTTAGATTAGCTCAGTACGCGTGTTGACAGGCATAACAATAGCAATCGCTGCTAATCAGATGATTATCCAAAGTTTCTTGCTTTGTATTTTATGCCTTTTCCCTTATGTTTTTCCTTGTTTTTCCTTAAGCGAGTTCTGCTTATGTTTTTTGCTTTGTCTTGCTTTCATACATTTCATGGCACTGTTTTGGCTTAACATGTTCAATTGTATTGTTCAACATTATAACCCAATGTGCAACAATTGCACTATAAGTCAGCAGTATTGTCAAACAAATAAATAAATAAAACCCAGTCAAGCAATATTATGAAACACTGCATTACTAAGTATGCGAAAACTAAGATCAGACATTGGGCAGTGACTGGCAGGTCGTGTGACTCTACTAGCAGACAACATGCATGCCTACGTATAGAACTTGTTGTGGAATTGAATTCACCATCAGCTGGAACAAAATAGGAACTAATACTGAATGACTTTTGCTACATAAGAGCATCACAGTGCAACGAGGACACGAGCAAAGCCACTGATGAAGGTAGGTACCATCAGCTGGAACAAAATAGTAACTAATACTGAATGACTTTTGCTAAACATAAGAGCATCACATTGCGACAACGAGGACACGAGCAAAGCCACCGATCAAGGTAGGTTAGTAAGCTGATCAATTTGCCCGAAATCAGGAGACAATCAGGAGACTTTGGAAATCAGGGGCCGACAAGTACGCGGAGCTGGAAGCTGGCCTGAGTCAGCATCTGCCCAGTGGCCATACTACAAAACAGCAAACATTCCTCCGCGCACGATCGGTCGAGGCTCGCACGTAGGGCCCTTGTTCAGGATATCCGTCTGAGCTTAAACAAACCGCACCCGTGAAGAACATTTGCTTTTAAGAAAATCACAAGATACTGGCCCTGGTCAACCAACTTGTGATTGCCCTCATGTGACGAGCATGGCTAACACTGTAGGTTGGATGAAAACTTCTAAGATGGCAGTACCCCCTATCATCTGGTCCATGCGTTTCTCACTGACTGCTTCCTCTCATATAAATGGTAGCTTTTCCGTGATTTTTCTGATGTGTAATTTCCTAACAGGATTCAGAATTTTACTCTTCATCATCTCTTCAATTCAAGACCATGACAACACTCAATTGTGTCAAGTCTCGTTACAGTGAGCATGTAGATATTATTTGCGCAGGGTTGTGCATTTTGAATCACTTTTGATTGCCTCAGCGAGAAAACAACACTGTTCGCTAGAACAATGAGCTCCTAATATTATCTAGGGTTTAATGTCCCAAAACCACGATATGATTATGAGAGATGCCCTAGTGGAGGGCTCTGGCTATTTCTACCACCTGGGGCACTTTACATCTAGCTAAGCCTAAATCACGGGACTAAACATTGCCTCAATCAAAAACGCAGCCACTGCAGTCGGGATTCGAACCCCTAACCATCGGGTCAGCAGTCGAGCGCTATAACTACTGCAATGTGTCAGAACAATGAACTCCTGAAGCACTGCCCACAATCAGTGCTACTTTGGCCTATGATCTGATTACAAGTACTGATCACCTGCGTAATGGCTTTTGTGGAAAACCAAATAAAAAGCCTCGATGACGCAAGACGAGACAAAAGACTAGGAAGATTGAACAGGACTGACCATCTGAGAAGACCACAAGAATGATAGGGCAATACGAGTACATACACGAGCATGATGCGCAGCTGAGTGAACATTTTCGAAGGGCCAGTAAACAACCACAAGGCTAAAAAATTGCCGTGAAGAGAAATACGAGCACTTTCAGTTTGTGATCATGCTGCCACAAGAATTTCGCAAATATGTGCTATATTAAAAAGAGACAGGGGTTAGAACATCGCGTTCAGCTGGTTTCAAATTTTCGCACGGCCTCGCCACCCTCCTCCATTGGAGGAAGGGGAAGGCGTGGCCCATCGTCATGACTCCGCCCATTTCAGCAATGTGACAAGACGTCAGGGATTGACGTCATCGGCCAACTCTATCAGTTGGAACGCACTTCCGCTTGCTCCGATGCCTGGTTGTTTTCAGTTTACCCAGTGCCGATGCTTTTCCGCAGCCCAATCGTTCGATTTGCAACCGACGACTTGCAGCAAAACTGCGTTCCAAAATCCACGCATGAAGCTGGCCTTATTTTTCTGGAGTTCGTTCACTTTTTGGGGAGCAGCAACACAACACACAAATAATGCGCTTAATAATGGGTGCGCCTCTCAACAGGTGACGCGACAATCTCCTTACTCCCAAAGACT